TTTTTTTTTTAATCAAAACTTTCCAAACTTCATAGGTGAAATTAATGTAGGTAAACTTTCAAAGTGACTTATATAAACTCTTCTGAATTGGTTTCACAGACCATTAAAAGGCCAAGCAGATACTGACTGGGGTATTAAATAATAAAACTAGGAATCTCTATATAATAATATTTTGCTTTACCTAACAGGATAGAGGTTGAACCTGTCTGAATTTAATAGTTTTACACATAGAAGAAATTTGACTTCACTAAGCATCTTTAAAGCATGGTCTATAATGGCAAAAACTCCTTCTGCAACATGAATGCCAAACCCTTTGACTTTTTTATGTTGCACTTTATAACATATGTTATCATTAGTGAGTCTCTAAAAAGACCAGATTAGATAACCAGCATGGCTGTCAAAGTCTGGTGCCTGGAACATGCTGATTTTCTTTGGGGGAATGCCACTTCTAAGGAAAAGGGTACAAAGTGTAGAATTTTGTGAAAAGTTGTTAACCACCAAGGAAGGGTTTTGAGGAGACTCAAATTAGGGCTTATGTATTCTATGCAAAACACTAATTTTAGAATCAAGGTTATCTCCACCAAAGTAAGAGCTATTAAATGTCCAACAGTAATTTAAGAAAAAATAAAACAGTAGTTATTACAATTTATCAAAACTTTCCAAACATTACAGGTAAACTTTCCAAGTGACGAGACTAGTTAAGTCCCCACTCTGTGTCTTCCTTCTCCTTCCCCCAATGGGCTTCAGACAAGTAGAATTTTTCATGGCATAGTTCTCCCACTTTAAGGGGAGGAAATATTGATTGAAGATGTTTACCACTTGCTTTCCTTCCAGTTTGCCAAGTTTTTATTTATCTTTTAGGCTGACGAAATGCATGTTAGAATAAAACACTGTTTTTCTATTATGTATGGACCAGTAGTTGTCCCTAGATTTATGTGTTAGAGCTAGAAGAACACAAAACTAGGTAAAATTTGACTGAAATGACACCCATTCATTTTTCCATTAAAAAAAAAATCTCTGCTGTGGTAAAATATTCACAGTAAATTTTCATCAAAATTAATTTTTATTAAATTCAAAGCACCAGTACTGGGGTGAGGGAGGGGGTGGGAGAAACCCACAAAACAAACAACAAAGAATGAAAAACAAAATTCAGACTATTGCCTCAGATGTCCTTTGCAATCTGCAAACCTCCATGGAGAAGTCTGCGATCCGACTGGCTCGTTCTCACTCAGGAACATGAATCACCTGCATGTGATGATGACTTACTAAATTCCCATCTAAGATGAAGGTGTAATAAATGTTCATAGTCATCAACTATTAATTTACATTGGGCTGTATAAAATACTTAAAAAATATGTACATGGCTATTTGACAGGAGGAGTGTGAAGAAATTAGATGGCTGAATACATGATCACGTCCATAATTTTAATGGTTACTCAGATCATTCCATTTCTCTTATTCATAATGAATACAGATAAACAAAAAATGAGTACAAATTTAATTTAAACCTAAAAACCTTTTCTTCACATGTAGTCTAGTCTTACTTTTGGTATTCATATTCATTTGGATCAGTCTTCACTAAAAGGAGGAGTTTCTCTTTTCATTGTCTCTCCAAGTAAATCAAATTTAAAGGTTTAGACACTGTTAGTAACAGAGGATTTTGAAACACAAATTCATAAAAGGGGCAACTGGCTGTATACTCACCCTTTTCACTGTGGGCTTAATCTTTTTGACAATATTCCTAAATTACACTATATTCATACTTCTCTGTGGTAGCACAGAAAAGGAAGAGGAAGTAAAATTGCTATAGAGCCAGATATGAAAGCTCACACCTGGAATCCAGATACTCAAGAAGTTTGAGGCCAGCCCCAGCAAAAATGTTAGGGAAACCCTATCTCACCAAATGGTGCTGGGTTTGGTAGTACAAGCCAGTGATTCCAACAACACAGAAGGGCATAGGTAGGAGGGCTCAAGGCCAGGTGGAGCAAAAATGAAGGACCCTATCTAAAAAAATAACTAAAGCAAAAAGGTCTAGGGGGTGTGGCTCAAATAGTAGCACACCTGCCTAGCAAGTGCAAGGCCCTAAGTACTGCTAAAAAAAACAGAAATAAAAAGCTGCCATGCGAAGAGGATGCTCCACTTTTCTACACATGTTCAGAAAAACTAAGCAGGACCTGTCAATTCAAAGGACAAAAGGATCACTTCCCAGATGCTGATATAAATATGTATTTTGCATTTAAGATGGTATATCTCAGTCCATTTACATTTCTGCCATAGCATGTAAGTCACTGACTGTGTCCTTGGGTTTCCTTACTACCAGAAAGGTCAGATGCTCGGCACGTGGGAAAGCTAAACCAAGATGGAACTGAGTAAATCCTAGCTGCCACATGTTCTGTTTATTCAGAGGAAAGATGTCTCAGGTTTTGGTCAAAGGCAAACCCTGGACCACATGCATTTACTGAACTTTTAGGGGGGTATCTGTGCTCTCAAAATGAGTGTAGGATACAGTTGGGCTCTTTTTTTTTTTTCTTAGCTTCTATTAGAATAGAATTGAAAGACTATTTAGCTGGAATCCATCAGGTAACGTAGGCACTTAATAATTTCACAGGCCTTAGAGACCATTATAAAAGGTCTATTTGGAGAGAGAAACCCAAGACATTTGCTCTCAGTATGTTCATCTGTATTATGTATCATTATAGGAAAGATGGTCCAGAACTGCCTTTCACTGAGCAGAAGATGGTAATGGTGAAACAGAAATACTGTTTTAAAAGGTTAATATGGCACTGAATAGTGGGTCTGGAGTACATTAATAGAAATTTATGGCTCAGTTACAGTTTAGGAAATTAAAGTTTTTGTTTTTTAAGTCTTACCTCCTTTAGTGATGAGTCCCAAAACAATTTACCTGTGCTGCTTTAACTCAGGAGACAAGTAGGGAGAACAAAATATCAGGAGAGCAGTATTCTAAGATACCAATAATAAACTTATTAGCAAAAGCTCCATAGGGGATGTGCTAGAAATGCTGGAGCAAAAAGCAGACAATTAAAGGTATATGTATTATCAACGCTTGCTCAAATAGTCACTAGAGAACAAATGTCAGATGCATATTCAAAACAGGAAACGGTGGTATATGTAACACATATTTGGAAAAGTGATTAAGACTTACAACAGGTAAAAATGGGAAGCTACTGCTAATAGGTTATCTTATCCTTATATCTTTAGCAATACCTGAAAAATCAAATGTATTACCACAATTTTTAAATTGTCTTCTATATGTTTTAATTCATGGGAGGCAATATAACAAAAGAATTCTTCAAGTCACCTGCATTTTTATTCTATTTTCCTAAAGAGAAGAATTCCTCCAGTCAAACATTAATTGTAGTGTTTTATTAATAAAGGTTTACTGTGGCAAACTAAAAATATCCATGTCAAAGTATTTTGTCAGTTGTTGCATTAGAGTATAGCATAGCAATTTTCTTCTACCTTAACCTAGCTTGCTTCTTTGAAAGTTCATCTGATCCTAAAAAACACTCAACAAGTAGAAGGAATACATGGATGTCAGTTAAACTAGCTGGGTGTAGAATATGCCTTTCCCCAGAAAATAGATCTTCTGTACCTCTATCAGGATGAAAATGCAATTCTGCATTGTCAGATCAAAGATGAAATTTGAGGTTCTGATTCTCAAAAATCAATCAAACAGAAAAACCAGAAAATAGATGCTTCAGGGAAAAATATTTTCACTATAATTCCCCCAAACTGGCTGTTCCCAAATCCCACACATATTTTCATTCAAAATTATAAAGACAGATGGAAGCCACAAAACAAACAAAAAGTAACAACCCTCCAGTCCCTTTCAGGGCACATGTGGAAGAAAATTTACATCAAATACGGTACACCCTGCTATACTTCGTATTTTGGGTAGTTCTATAAAAGCCACACGGCAAACAATGAGGCCTGCTATAAAAGCGTCACCTGCACAGTTAAAAAGCAAACAACAAACCACACATAGACACAGCAAAACCAAACATGTGCACACTTATACCTTTCACAGGAAGAAGGTGAAGAAAATCTAGATCTAGAAATGTATGAAAATGGCCTTGAAAACCAGCTATACCCAATACCTCTATAGACAAGATAAAAACAAAACCAAAAATCAAACATCGTTTTCCTGATTTTGTTTAATATAGTTGTCATCTTACATGATAGACTATTAGGTGCCTTCTTAATAGCATCTAATCTACTGCCCTTTTGTTGTGCCAGCTGGATTCCTGGGAGAGAAATCTTGCTGCTCATGTTCTGGGAGTACTGCTTTGAAGGACAGCAAACCTAATCTTGTGGGCCATAATTAATGGTGGCAGCATTAACATTCTAAACCGGATTGACACACACTCAAATCACATGAATTTCCAACTGGGAGTTCACACAAAGTCTACTTCCTTTTTCTAGTAGCTATTGCTCCCGAGTGTGGTTCAACATCCAAGAAGTGTGAAGAATGTCTATGTATATCACTGTTCATTCTTTCATTTGTTCTTTTTCTTGTTTTCCATTTCCTCTTCTGCCATCTTTTCTTCATTCCCTCCTTTCTTTCTTCCACTGATCTCCTTTCTTCCTTCTTCTTTCTCAGTGAAGTTCAGTAAACATCAAAAACAGATGAGACGGCTCACAAACTCTTCTTTCCAATGATGTTAAGTTACTGACAACTGTTTTTGGAAAACAAAAAAATCTAAAGATAAGCATATGCCGATGATACTGCTTACTTAAGCAGCTGGCGTTCCTCAATGCTTTTGAGGCGTTTCTTCCGGGGCTGTACAAAGTCATCATCTGAATCATCACTAAATTTATTATCTTCTGATTCATTCTTGAATTCTAGTTTAGGGAACTTTTTTTCTGGATAAAGATTTTTTAGAAGTTCTTCAAAATAATTTTCAAGTTTTATACCAGCACTGGCTACTTCTGAATCAGGCTGTTGAATAAAAATAAAAACATGAATTAGAAAAAGACCAACATTTTAGACAGCCAATAAAAGTAATCTCTCACACTTCTATTCAGTCTTGACTATTGAGATTATGAAAATTAATGGACTATTTTGGAAAATGTTTAGGCATAATCATTAGTATAAAATAAATACAGTCTAGGGCTAGACAAAGTCTAGAGAAAGTTAGCTAAAAAGTTAATAGAAAGACTCTGCTGAGTTATCTACATTGTTCAAACAGGAGAATGTAGTGGTTAAGACTGGATTACTGAAGACAGATCAATAAGATGTCATAATCACAGGATCATGAAACAAGTAACTTTTTAGAACAAATGAAAAGAAATGCAGTCGTCTAGAATGAGTAACACATGGAACAAGCCAGAAACCAAAGACTGAAGTCTGACAGATAAACCAAGAGATGAGAAACTTTTAAATGAGAACTACTTGCTCACATCCTCAGTATTTCTAGATAAACATCAAAAAGACTTAAGCCTGGAAATGCCGTATTTTAAGAAATAAACATGGGAATGATAAAGATACGTATTTTCTAAATTGTCTCCAGTTATTAGCTATTTTTTGTATTTGTGCTCACCATTAAATAAAACTTTACATACAAATGTGGATAAAGTCTTCCTAATTACCTCTTTCATACCCTGGTAGATCTGACACAGACATCTCAGTGTCTTCATTTGTTGATAAAGGGTTTGCCTTAATATTACTTTCACAGGACTATTGCCTCTCCCCACCTCACCTCATTGAATTCAGCACAGTTTTGAAAGATCAATCTAAAATCAGCTACAAAATCTTCAGGCTTTGTATACATGTAATAATCTTCTTGTAGTCTTTTCTTGATAGTTGACAAGTCCATTGGATTTTTGATTATTTTGTAATAATCAGGCACCTTTCAAAATAAATGAAAACAACTTAATTCTACCTTGTTCTGAATACATTCTACGAAAGTGATATAAAATTCAAATTGTCTGCATTGCTTTTCTTTACACTCTTGTGACTGGTAAGAAAACCTATCTAGCAACATTTACATGTAAGTGCCTACTCTGCCCGCCACACACTGGCAAATGCTTTGTGTCACTTTTTAAACAAGTCTTACCAATATTTCTAATGAAAAACTGTGTCTTTGCATATTCCCTTTTAAACATCCTCCACGCTCCCTCTTCAATATTAAACAAAGTGATAACTAGAGTATGACTTCTAGACTTGATGTTTCTGTTGCACGCATTACTGCAAGTGCTGAAGAAGGCATGACTGAAACTTAGTTTCTTTATATTTCAAATACATATGTCCCGGCCACCTCAGGACTGGGATGAGGCGATATGTAAGAAATGACATCAAGAAAAGAGGGGTGCTATTTTGCTGCTAAGCCAGACGCAGTGGCTCACCCCGGTAACCCTAGTTACTCAGAAGGCAGAGATGAGGAGGACTGTGGTTCTAGGCCAGCCTGGACAAAGAGTTTATGAGATGCCATCTCAATAAAAACTGGGTGCTATGGCGAGCATCTGCCACCCCATAAATAGGAAGCATAAATAGGACTGCAGTTCATGTTGGTCCAAGCATAAATTGAGATTCTGTTTTAAAAAATACCTAAAGCCGAAAGGGCTGGGGGTGTGGCTCAAGTGGCACTATAGTGCTTGCCTAGCAAGCACAAAGTCCTGAGTTCAAATACCAGTACTACCATTAAAGAAAAAAAAAAAAAAAGAGGAGGAGTGCTATTTCATTGCTGCTGTTGTTATTAATACAAAGTAGCTATAAGCCAATATAACAAAATGCACCAATTTGGGGTCAAATTCTTAAAGTTTGTACTGGCATTACAAGCCCTTTTGTCTTCTTCACCCTGCTTCGTTTGGATACAAAAGACTCTTTTCCTTTAGAGTATTTATTTCCTTTTCTGGGCTGGAGAAGTAGCTCAGCACCACAAAGAAAGAGCCATTTCCTATTTCTATCTCATGTTCTCAAGAAAGGAGTTGGCTTTTTTTGCTAGAGCATAGTAACTGCACAAAACAACTGATTTCATTGTGACCTTATGATACATGCAGAAGTTGAACGTACTTACTAGTTTTCATTTTCTAGTCTCATATTAATTTTTAAAAATTTATCAAATTGTTAAAAACAAATTTATTCCATTTTAAAAGGAATTCAGGACTGAAGGTGTGGCTTAATTGGTAGAGTGCCTGATTTGCAAGTGCGAAGCCCTGAGTTCAAACACCCCAGTCCTACTAAAACAAATTAAAATAAAAATAACAAGTACAATGAATTTTAGACACCATAGAGGGAGAACAAATTGTGGCAAGTGGACCCTTACAAGCACTGAAATTATGCATAAAAGTCACATCAAACTTTCAATACAAATCTGTTTGAAGCCAACGGTTAACACACACACACACACACACACACACACACACCTTCCTCACCTTTTTAGAAAAAAATTGTTAAAAGTCCACTTATAGGTTAAGTCTAGACCACAAAATCAAAGTAAGTACAAAAAACTATGGGGGTTCTTTATTTAAAATGGTGAAGTAACAGCTTAGGATATATGCTTAAAATTTCTGAGATGCAAACAATACAGAAATCATCTGAAAATAGCATTTAAACTAGGTGAGATGAGAATAATATTTGAGAATGCAGAGAAATTTTAATTAATTTTAAAATTAATATTAAAACAAATCTATTTAGGATCAAAGCATTCTGCATGTATTAATAATCTTCAAGATTTAGACTAGATATGAGACTACTAAAAGTAGTATAGAAATTAGATTCTCCTGCTGGCGGAACGGCTCAAGTGGTAGAGCACCAGCCTACCAAGTATGAGGCTCTGAGTTCAAATCCCAGTACCAGGAAGAAAAAAAAATTAGATTCTCATAAATAAAATTTCAAAACCTCATCCACTGTGTAAACATGTACAAGATGGCATTAACACTTACAGTTAGAGGAACTGGATCTTGAAAAGCCAGGCTCATTTCATGGCAGTAAAGAAATAAAAGGAGGCGTTCACACTTCTAAGCAAAAATAAATAATAAATAGATAGAAATATAATACAACAATGAACTCACAGTCCGTTTTCAGCAAGAATTTTACAGGTCTCAAAATAAGAAATCAAATCAGATGAATACATGGCAAGAATTGAACTGTGAGTTTTGCTTTCCTTCCCAATCATTAACTGTAGTACTTGGCAATTTAGGATGTATGTGGTATTTGAGAGTCCTGAAATGAAGTAAACAAAATCAGTATTGCTAGAAACTCCTCACTTGAAGTTCCTTACAATGAATTTCCAGTTCTCTCTTCAGTTTACATACTGTGAATTAACAGTCAAGCAAGGAAGACCATGGTTCTATTAGGAGACCTACAAGTGGACCTTTTTTTGGTTATGCCCAGTCCTAAGGTTCCCCTCTGCATGCAGAGATAATCCCATCATGAGCTCTGCTTCTTCTCTGCCTATGGGTTTATTTATCCTAGTGAGCATTGTGGTATTGGTAGTGAGTGTTTGTATGACAATTTTTATACTGTTTTCTATTTAATAATTTAGCACAGAAGCTTCTGTTATAATAAAATGTTAAACTAGTAGTTTTAAATATTAGTTAAATATATTTAGCTGGTTTTGACAAACTTAGGAGCACTTGGTGACAAAAATGGAATTATTTTCAGGAAGAGTGAATATAAAGCCATCAGGATGCCAAATCTCAACAGATTCTGAGGAAGAAGGCTTATTTGTGATAGAAATGAGACAAAATAGAAAATTTACCTCAGTAGACTAAATTTAAAAATCCAGGTTCTGCAAAGGATACGAGGTCTATCTTGTTCAGGCACAGTATTTTAAGCTTCTATAAATATATTTAGTAGTGATCTTTTGCATTTAATTATTTAAGATTCCTATTTCATTGTTTAAAAAAACTTAGAAGAAAAAAGAAATCAGTATAAAATTAACGCATGTAAACTTACCCTTTTATCTATCGGTGTTAATTTAACAAGGCCTTCAGTTTTCCTTTTTTCTGAGTTGTGACTAGGAGCATCACAATCATATTCAACTTCTGGTTTAGACAAGTCTCGGCAGAAAGTACAAATCCAATCTCCACTGTTGGGATAATGTATTTTTGAGTTTTTTATTGTTTGGTTTTTGAGACTGGGTCCTGCTGTATAGCCCAGGCTGGCTCGAACTTGTGATTTTCATGCCTCAGCCTCCCAGCACTTGGGAGCACACTTACAGCATACACCACCACACTGACTCTACTTAAGTTTCATACAGCATCATGTCTCTTTCACCACTTACCTTTCCCATCTCCCCCTGCCGTCTATGACACAGGTTTATTCAGCATGAATTTTAGTCACACAGTATCACATAACCAACTAGGCACAAAGCACCATGCGAAGAGGAAATTGCAGAAATTAGTGCATGGGTTTAAGTGGTTTATATTAAAGTCTAGTTAAGGAGGCATGAATTATATATATGGAAAAAACCATAAATAAACATAACACATTAGCATTTTCCCCCAAAGGTTTTGGGAAAAAGAAAAGCTCTTTGTATTTTTCTTGCAGTTCTAAGTTTGACGTTAAATTTAAGAAAGTACAGTCTTTGATGAACTGAAAGGGGATCAACCCAGTGGCTCTTAATCATTATCGTCATCTCACATGGCTTGAGAATTTACCTGAGATATTTGTGAACGATAAAGCTCAATGCCTGGCAAACAATATGCTCTAACTTGTGGTAGACAGTATAATAAGGATCACTGTTGGTAACTCCTTGCAGCAATTTAAAGGGCTACTTATTAGTTTTATTTATTTATTTATTTATGAATGAATAAAATGGCTTATGTAGCCCAGGCTGGTCTCAAATGTGCAATCCTTCTGTCTTCACTTCTCCATTGCTGAGATTACTAGTGTGCACTACCATTTCCAGCCAGGGCTCACTATTTATTTATTTTTATCATCATAACAGACTAATTTTTTCCAAGCACAAGGAAAAACCCTGTATTTTTGTTAGGAATTTTGGAGCATGCATTTGTGGCACATGGAATTTCACTTCTTTACAAAGGTTTTATGGCTATAATGACCATTAAAAGTTTATTGATGCTAATATATATATAGTTTTTATTTGAAGAGCTGGACCTGGAACCCAAGGCTGTGTGTATGCTAGCCAAAGATTCTACTATGGAGCCACCCCTAGTCCTGTTTATAATGAAGGAATGTGGGAAGGGAATTTCTTACTGTCTTACCTTGGAAAATTTGTCAATGTGGGCACGTGGCAAGAGAGATGGAAAACTTTGGGACACTTCTCACAACACAGGAGCTCCCCTCCGTTTTGACAGACTGCACACCAGTCCTCATTAGGGTCATCGTCCTTCCGTGTCTCTCCAATATGAAGGGGTGATTTCTGGGCGGCATCCAGCCACTCAGATTTGCCATTTGAGGAATCTTCCTGGTGAAGTCCAGGTTGATCTCCTGTGCTATCAGGGGCATCAGATCTTAGCACAGTTTCCTCAGAAGCAGAGCTCTGACTGCTATTTAGGAGCAGGGAGGTAAGGATGCTTCTTGGATAACTGGTCTGCAATAAAAGAGAGAACAATATGTGTGTGTTTTCTGAAACTGGCATTTTTTTATATTAGTACTACTATAACTTTGGACTGCAGACCACTCTCCCATAGGCACCTGTTTACTTCACCTGGAGTCTGTATGTGTAAGAATAGGACATGTGTATTAAAGTCTTTAATGCCAAGACATGGACCTCTACTGCAAAACATCAAGATACATGATGGGCAGTAAGAGGTGTAGGAAATAACCTTTGAGTCTGCTGGCTACAAATATAAAAGAATAGATGGGCAGTGAGGAAGCCAACCATATAAAATATAAATAAAATTTATTGGAGCTGTTAATTCAAATTATATCTAAGATAAAAATGTGTATCTAAATTTTTTGTTGGATCCTAGAATCACGAAAATCTCTAATGAATAACAAAAGTATTATGTCCTTTAAATATTATTTTGAAATTTAAAAGTAATAAACATATTATTAAAAGCACTCATTCCTTGGAGGCAACTATTTTCAAATTTATCTTTTTCTTCTGTTATCTACCCTCCATATTCTGTTCTGTTCTTGTTCTTCCTTTTTTTGGCTATGTTGCCCAGGCTGGCCTTAAATTTGCAATCCTCCTGCCTCAGCTTCCTCAATAACTGGCATTAGAGTAGCTGGGATGACAAGTGCATACCACTGTATCTGGTTTACCTCCATATTTTTAAGTGAAATGCTTGTACTGCAATTTCTTGAATTTTCAATTTTAATGCCATATATATGTAAAAACTTTCCTGCTATGGAAATCTCCATGCCTTCTTTACACTGACACACATGACCACTACCACCGATACCCACCCTATTCTCTTAACATTGTTTTTATTAAGCACTGATTTTTTTGTTGTTGTTCAGTTTATAGGAACCACTATAACTATTTATGATGAGCAATTGGTCAGTATGTATCTTACCTGGTTAAGTATTCTGAAAATCATAATTTTTGATTAAATGCATATTCAGGTTATATCCTGATTATATCACAAATTTTAATTACATCTGCATTTAGGTATTTGTTTCATCATGTGGCTGTAAATATTGTTCACTGTAGAACCACAAAATTTACTATAACTACATTTCTTTTTTTGTATAATCTTTTTGTTTTTATTAAGAGTCAGTTATTACTTTATTTTTTTTCCTATTTGTTAGACATCATCTCTAAGTCAATCTCCATAGAGTTTTAAGATGTTTCTCAATACTGTCCCAACATTTTTCTCCCCATGACACATCCCTGTAGAGCTATCTTTCTGCTCTAGGTTACTGTGCAGGAGCTGTTGCACTAGGGACTACCCTTTTGTTTCCAAATAGGAATAGTATTGCAAGCACCAATATAATTACATTTTGAGGTCTAGGATCCTCATCTGATTCTTGTTTCACTATAACAACAGGAAAGTCATAATTTTCAGGTGGACCACTGTTTTCTTGTTTTATTCGGATTGGTTCCAACATGACCACTGGGACTTTGTGGGTAGAATCAGCTCCTGCTGGTTTGCTGGAAGAGCCAGAACTGCAAGTGTAAAAGAGAGAGAAAAGAAAAACAAAATAATCTAAAAATGCTACATTAAAAACCTCACAACAAAGTACAATAACAGCATCCTGGAATAATACTTTATCTTCGTAACAATCACTTACATTGGCAATAAATGATATATAACTGACATGAAATTGCTGTATGTATAAGTTTCATTTATGATTAAAATGCTTTACCTACTAGCCAATCTACACAGCTACAAATATATGTGCAAAGATAAAGTTATAATAAAATTGACATTGATATTCTGAGGCTCTATAATTGAACACTGGATTTGATATTTTAGAACTAGCTTTTTTTAAGATTTTAAGTTACCTCTCTAGTAGTGACGAAGATAACTAAGGCTCTCATTAACAATTTGTTGTTAAAGTGTGAAGACAACTAGGAAATCATTTATTGTGTTCTACTTAAAGACAGTAGCAGGACAACACTGTGCAGATAGCCACTATGTTCTCATGGGACTATAGGAAAACTTTCCCCCTCAAAGAATGCTGCTTTCATTTGATTAAGAAAGAATAAACTGGGGCTGGAGAAGTGGCTCAAGTGGTAGAGCTCCTGACTAGCAAGTGTGAGACCCTGAGCTCAAATCCCATTATTGCCAAAAATAAAGTAGAAACTGAGTTTATAGCTAGGCACAATTTCCAAGCATAATGAGGAAGAGCAAAGTAGTAACTTAAAACAGAATCTCAACAACTATAATCTTATTTCTTTTAAAGTACAATTAATGTTTTATCATTAGAAAAGTCAGAGACATCAAAATTAGTAAGAAACCATTGTTTCTTTTCTCTAAACTTGTGTTTCTATGTAGGGTTATGTGTTATGCCTACTTTTCCTGTTGTCAAGTAGTATTTTCTTATTTTCAACATATAGAAAAAAATTTTAGAAAATGAATTTGTACTTTAACCTCTTCATTAATTTATTAAATTAATAATTATTACAATTTGAATAAAAAATTAAAAATAGAGGAAGTTGCTGAAAATGTCACCAAGCGCAACATATTGAGCACTGGCAAGAGAACTCTAATTAGAGATTTTATGTGTAGTTGGCCCTCCATATCCACGGGTTCCCCATCTGGGGATTCAACCAACTATGGATGGGAAATATTCAGGAGAAAAAATTATGTCTGTACTGATTATGTACAGGTTTTTTTTGTGTGTGTATTATTCCCTAAACAAAACAGTATAACAATTATTTACATAGCACTTACATTATATTAGGTGTCATCAGTAATCTAGATATGATTTAAAATATATAGGAAGATATATATAGGTTAGATGCAAATATTATACCATTTTTATGTAAGGGACTTGAGAATCCGAAGAGTTTAGTATTCTCAGGGGGTCGTGGAACCAGCTCTCCATGGATACTGAGGGACAACTATACTAGAGAATATGGTTAAGTCTGTTTACCTTCCTCGGCTCCCAACGCTGGAGGCACTAGGTGAACGTATTGGGGGGTGGACGCTAGTCATTGTAACAGGTCCTGAGGAGGGGGAAATCATACACATTCATAAATGAATTAATAATTATGTACTGAAGTCCTATTGAATGTGCTCACTTAACACTACACTGAAATTGGGAACAAAAAATAAAATTCTACACAACAGTAAGTAGTTGCCGAAGTCTAAGCACAATCTGTTATTCTCTGCTATTACAATAGCAGGGTTTTCGATCTCAACACTACTGATTTGAGGCAAGGGAATCCTCTGGTGTGGGGAATGTCTGTATATTACAGAATGTTTGACAGTATTCCTCATTGGTACTAGTTCTAAGTTGTCAGAAGCATCTCTCCACACACACCTCCTAAATTAGAGTGTGATAATCAAAAATATGTCTTTCCTGCATTACAGTAACCAGGGCAGATCTCGGTGAGAACTTCAGTGCCAATGAAAGCTACAAAAAGAATAAAAAGTGGTAGGGGATGATATAACGAAAAGGAGTTCAAGAAAAAAAACAACGGACTGGAGGTATGGCTCGAGTGGTAGAGCACCTGCTTGGAAGTGTGAAACCCTGAATTCAAACCCCAGTCCCACCAAAAGAAAAAAGAGACAGACAGACAGAAAGAAAACAACCATCAAAAGAAACCAATTAATAGAGATAATCAAAGTTAGACAGAGAGGTTCAGATGTGAGGCAGTAAACAAGAGAGGCTCTGCACTCACTACTGTCATGAAGACAGAGATTAAGAATCTATGCTCTGGTAGCAGTGTAGATCACAAGTGCTTTGCTCAGTGCCTGGCACACAGTCATCAGTATACAGATGTTAGCTTTAGGAATATTGCTAGCATGGTTTCCAGAAATGTTTGGCCAAGTCACACCTTGACCAGCTATTTAGGAGTACCTCTCTTTGTCACCTTCTCATAGAGTACGGTCACTATTTAAATCTTGACTAATTAGTTAGAAACCAAACTGTTTCAATCTTTCTTATGACTAGTAGTGATAGTATACATTTTTGTTTAGTTTTATCGGCTATATGTATTTTCTTTTAAGGGGATTACCTACTCATGTCCTTGGGTACTACTCATTTATTTATATGAATTTGTCATGCGATAAAGTTTATGTTTAAATAGCTGTTTCCATTTAAATTCTGTAATTGCCTTATATTATGTTAATGTGACTGGTAAAGACTTAAGACATTCTCTTCTTTCCTCGCTTCCATTTAAGACATCAATTATGCCAAGGTCTCCAGGAGTAGTATTACAGTGCCTCTCAGAGGAAAAGAGTAAGTAAGTTAAAAATTCTTAAACGCAACTGAATACACCAAGCAAACCACCAAAGACTGATCTGTGTATTGTCACTAAAAAAATTTAACTCTGTCAGGTGCCAGTGACTCACATTTGTAATCCTAGCTACTTGGGAGGCTGAGATTGGGAGGATCAGTTTGAGGCCAGCCCAGGCAAATAGTTTCATGAGTCCTCATCTCCAAAATAAACAGAGCAAAATGGCTTAAGTGGTAGAGCACCTGCTTTGTGAGCATGAAGCCCTGAGTTCAAACCTCAGTCTCATCCCAAACAAACAAACACCATTCTGAACCATCACAGACAGCTTAATTTATTTATAAGACTATAATATTCATTTCTTCTTTGAGTGCTATAATACCTATATATTTTGTTGATACTGAAAAGGTAATGAAGTTTAATTTCTTTCTTCATAAGAATACTAATTTTAAATAGTACAAAATTCAGAAACATCTTAATCATCCAACTAAAAAATGATGATGCAGAGAGGGATTTTTAATCATTACAAGTAAAAAACAAAAAAAATTTACAAAACAAGGTGACTTTACCTGCAAGGCCTGGAGATGGCACTGACGAATTCGGTGACTGCACTGTTCTGTTTGAGGGTGGTCTTGGCTGGCTGTTATCTACATTAGTGTCTTTCCTCATAATATTGTCCAGCATAATGGTACTTGAACAATCAATCTTGCAGGAAAAGAAATTATTTCAGGGCAAATTGACTTTGCAAGTTAAACAGCTACTTTAGATTTATAAGAAAGCTTCAATCACAATTACTATCAAAAAAAAAAAAACAGGACATAAGAGTTCTGATAGCTGACTCTCCCTTAAAAAACAATCTAGAAAAAAGTTTACATTCTTTTTTGGTGCTTCTGTGATTTAAACTCAGAACTTCATGCTTTTGAGGCAGGCACTTTTGAGCCACACCTCCAGCCCCTTCTTAATATTCTACCTCCTCCTAGTGAGGACATACTATTCTAGAAGTCAATGTTTAGAAAAAAATATAAGTTGAAACAAAAATTCATTTAAAAATAACAGAAGGTACTTGTATTTCAAAAAAGGCAAAAACTAAAAAATTTGGTAAGAGAAAAGTAGCACAATTTTACATTCCTGTAAATCTCTTTAATGTCTATTCTAACAGCGACCAAATTAGATTCTTGTATCTGCGTCTGCATTCAATCTTCTGTGATACGTAGTTTCAGATGAAGATAAAGAAAATCTGACTTCTCACAAATGGGCCCTTGAGGACCTTCAAAGGGTCATAGGATGTCTAAGTACCTGACCCACAATTTAAGACTAGATGCTCTAGGTACGCACTGAACAGATGACGTAAGTCCACACATTGTACACTTCTAAAGCACCAACCTCACAAAGTACATTAGTTTAGTGGGAAAACAAAAAGTGATCCTTTTAAGGCAACAAATAAATAACACTGATAGGCTAAATACTGATAAATTTCTAAGTAACAATTTAATGCTTTAGATACAAACATTCTTTCAAAGCCTAAAACACCAAATTTTCCAAGAATATCTTTGTGCTTAAAATCCAGTTCAATTCTCTCACAGTTCTAGCCTTTCTCAATCAGAAGTTTGTAAGAGAATTACATCTTACAGCTCAAGGGCACAGACTGCATATAATGAATTAACTTTTTGCCTATGCACCTAGAATAGTGCTAGTTAAAACACATCCTTGAGAGGATTAAAACAATCACTGTGATTCACATGAGGAATTTTAGGAGAGCGAAGCTAGTGAAAGGAAAGAAACAGGAGGGAGATTTTAACTTTCTGTGAGTCCTCTTTGATTCTGGGATAAGTGGTAGGAAGTACAAAAGGGCATTTGTGTTTTAATATTCTCTTGACATTATCTTGGCCAATATTTTTCAGATACTGCAAAAAGAATGGAATCACTAGATTTGTTAATCTTAACATATAAAAGTCATTTGCATTGTATAATCCTAAAAGCTAAATAAAACTAAGAATTAGATGTAAGTTTTCCTATATATCATCTATGCATGGAAAAATACATGTATTCTACCCATTTAGAGTATATAAAATTATAAAAGGTAAAATGACCCTAGTAAGGTTAACAATATTGGAAGAAAATTGTTGATCTCAACTTGAAAAATTAAATAATGAAAATAAAAGAAGTTCTTTCACAACCTTACAGGTGATTCCGTCCAAGTAAGGTATATAAAATATTTCTGACAAGTTTTTAAATGTTTGGTTTTAATGTTTCATGGCAGTGAATTTACCTAACTTTGTAGGCTAAAAAAGACAAGCTATCCAGAAGGGAGAGAATCATGGAGGACCATGGTTTGAAGTTAGCCTGGGCAAATAGTTCAAGAGACCCTATTTTGAAAATACCGAATTCAAAAAAGGGCTGGAGGAGTGGCTCAAGTAGTAGAGTGTCTGCTTAGTAAGTGTGAGACCCTGAGTCCAAACTGCAGTGCCATTCAAAAAAAAAAGATGAAACAAGAAATCAACTTAGGTGTGGAGAGCTATCTACAATGTTGTATTTCTGCCTTCGAAAAGATTCATAGAAGTCATACTGACAAAGTTAAGAGCCTGGTGAGTGACGGTTTTATTTAATGTAAATATAAAGCAAATCAGAGATAACTGTGCACTGGTCAGTAGGACATAGCAGAAAATGTTGATTTCTACTACATTTTGCCATCCAACTTCCCAGTCTACCCTTCCATATTTTTACTTCTCCTTCTTGACAGCTTTTGTCTCATGATCCATCACCTTAAATCAATCATTAATAAAACTCTGAACTACAGGATCCTGAAAGACATTCTGTTGTATGTACAAGTGTTCATAATTTCTATTTTTACTGCTGTTACAGTATTTTTAAATGAAAGAAATGACTTCCAGAAACAACCTATAATCCAATAATCCTATGCCTTTTCCTAAATCCAAATTCTCTGACAAATTCAATAGGAGTTGTTAGTATAAATCTTGTATATACTCACATCTGGGAGAGAAGGTAGATTATAAGAACCGCCCACTGGTGAGCTCAAATCAATCATAGATGAACCAAAAGCCTTTCCATCATATCCTGCGGCACTGGTGATGGTGGGACTGGACGGAGTAGAAGATGTGCTGCTGGCGGTTGATGAGGGGCCATGTCCACTGCTGATCTGCCACTAGAGGAGCAAGAAGGGAAGAAAGGCTGTTGATCAATGGGCCTAAAATAGGAAATGTGCCTAGTTACTCTTTCAGACTCAATGTGTAATAGAAGACACATTCTGCTGCTCGATTCAGGAATGAATTCAGTGGAAAGAAATGAGAGGCAATAGGTGTATATGTAACCAGCTTGGAAAAGACATACTAAAAAGGAAATAATAACATACATATAACAACTTAAAGGTAAAGATGGAGGGATGAAAACATAGTTTCTTCTATCCCTTCCTGAAACACCTGACAATAGCAAGCCACAGACCAAGGCTTTCAGGTTTCTTATCCCTCTCTCCTTTTCTGTATATAAACAGAAATTAAGCCTTAGTAAACATCTGAGGAAAGATGTTCATGTTAGAAACTGAGATAAATAAAAAAATAAGATAACGCTGGACTTGAAATCTACAGAGGTGAAGAATGCTGTTTGGTTGCTTTAAAACCTATCCAAAAAAAAACTTGGCTTGATGGAAAGATGAATGGCTAGATAAATGCAAGAGAAAAAAACTGCACAAACATAGTCACTTATATATGGATGACACTGGAGAGTGGTAATGCCTGAGGTATTTTAAATTTAAAAAATCTAATTCAAATGCTTTACTGTAAAAACGACACACAGAAAAGATATGAAGATGGTTGTGAATGTCTTTACACCTCTCCACCTCTCATAACCCATCCTATACACCCCTTCTCCTCTTCTCCCAAGGATAAGCAATTATGGCTGATGGATACCTTTCCAGGCCTTTTCTATGTATATGAGATTAAAACAAGCACACGCACACACACACAGATAATACCTTGCCAAAATTCCGTAATATGTTTTTTCCTCATATAGCACACTTAGATTATACAGATTAGTGTGTTTTCTCAATATCTGTAAAGTATTTTAGTTTTATGAGTATACTACAATTTGCTAAATCATCAATTAAAATCAATTTCCCACTGTATTTTCTTCTTGTTCATTCATTTTGGTCAGAAAACACTTAAGAAAAAAATTTTAGATTATCTACACATTAAAATGATTTGATTAAAATGTAAAATTACAGTGCAGTGCCATCTTTATTTTGGTCTGGGCAAAAAAAGTTAAAAATTGGTCCATAAACTATCAGCTGGAAAAACTGTTGACACAGATCCTTTGAGAAGACAGAGCACTGAGATGGCTTTTAAGATAAAATAAATTCTGGAAAATGTTTTTACTAGAAGACATTAATAATATAAATAATAAAACCATATCAGATTTAATATATAACCTTAAATATTAAACCTTTATCAGGTGTATATGTATTACATATTGACATTTTTGCCATAACTAAGTTTGTTTTCCAAGAAATCTCCTTGAAACACTTTCTTTTTGAGGACTGTAACTTGGATTTGTGAGAATACTTTGTCTTAAGATATGCAGTATACAGCACTGGTGCTCAACTAAACGTTGGATGAACCATACTGTGAAACCTAACATCAAGGACTCACTGATTACACAGGCTTACAAAAGTGGCTTTACTGATTACAAAGCAAGGAGAGACTTTTTCTTACTTTTGTCTCCATAGGTCTGTCCATGATAAAGTTTGTAATTCACAGTTATTAAAAGAAAAAAGCAATCGTTCTCTTGCTCTTCATCATCTATTGCTTAATCGATAAACTCAGTGTGATGTGGAAGTAAGGAGAAACAGAAGCAAAGTGAGTCAAGGAGGAGAGATAATAAATGTATACCTGTTTTATGGCTTGTTGAGCCAAGAAAGCCACCTGTAGGGGATTGGGCTTTATTGCTTGTCGTGAAAGATTCTGGTTCAGTGGATACCTCAGCTGTTGAGGATGAGGAGGAAGAACTGGTCCGTTGGGCTTAGGGTTGTGATTTTGAAAGTTTATCAAACGTGGAGGGGATTGCTAGAAAAGAGGAATTAAGCCACTTCAGTAACAATTACCACTGTAAAGACACATTACATCGTTCATAAAATTTAGAAGAATGGCAGAAACACTGCCACACATGAATCATGTAAGAAAGATTACAAAAAAGGGAATAGGGAGGATGAGCAGATTTTCAGAATTTGTGTAATCCATTTAAAAAAAGTTTTAATGGGCTGGTGGTGTGGCTCAAGTGGTAGAGCACCTGGAGTTCTGGAGTTCAAACCCCAGTATTGCCAAATAAAGTTTTATTGCAAAAGCACCTTGGGGAAGGTATTGGCAACTAGATTTGTAAAATATTTATACTAAGATCAGACCTAGGCTATGTTGGGAAGTAGATAAAGGTATACTAAGTACCTTTCTAGGTTTTTGTGGCTTTTTAAAATTATTTATTTATTTATTACAAAGAACTACCTCTTCAAACTTTCTAAGATAAAGTGATGGCAGAATAATCATTGCTAGCATTTACTGTGCATTATTAAACATCAGATATTACTTTAAGTGCACCATATACATTGCTCATTTAATCTTAACAGCAATCCTATGAGGTAGGGATTATCTTTATACTAAGGAAACTAAGGTACAGCAAATTTAAGTAACTTGCCCAGGTTAATAAAGACAGTAAGTGATTTGAACAAAATAGTCTGGCTCCAAAGTCTGTACTTTTTTTTTGGTGGCACTGAGGCTTAAACTCACACTTCCTAGAAAGGTGCTGTAACTACTTGAGCCAGTCCTCCAGTCCCAAGGTCTGTCTGTACTTTAACAAATCATTAATAGTGAAAATAGTTAACATAATAACATTTAAAAGGTAGTGAGTTTTAGATCCTATTGAACCTTGTGAAGTAGGTACTTTTACCTGTAAGAATTTGGAAACTTTAAGATTAGAAAACACAGGTAACTTGAAAAAAGCCATATAGCGAGTAAAATAAAGCATCAAATCTAGCCTGCCCTATCATTACCAAAACATGTTTGGTGTTTAACTGGCTGTTGCTTAAGATACTGACTACAACTTAGAGGATATGTTCTCAAAAGAAAATAGGTTTTGTGATGGGCATGGTGGTACACACCTGTAATCCCAGCACTTAGGAGGTTGAGGCAGGAGGATTATGAGTTCAAGGCTAGACTAAGTGACATAGTAAGACCCTGTCTCAAAAAGACCAAAGAAGAAAAACAAAAATTGATTTTGAAAGGAAATCCCCCAAGGATAAATTGGTTGATTACAGGAAGGTTGGATGAAGGAATCAGAGATAAGGCAACAGTGAGGAAGACAAGTGTACTGTGTTTCCTTCAATGCTAGTCCTGGAAGTTGAGACTGAATCCTAGAAAAATAGCACCTTTATATGCCAGCCTCCTTGTCAAGATCCAATTCTCTCTACTGTTGGGGATTTACTGCAAAGCAAACATTTCTTTTCAAGATATTCTAAATGTGTATGACCATATTCTCTCCCCATTCACAGTAGGGACAAAATAAGGAATCTGTAAGGTTGAAGTAGCAACACCTCATGCTTTGACACTGTGAAGGCAGAAGCAATAAAGCATAGCCTTGCCCTATTTTTTCCTTACATTTATTGAAATTTACACTCCTATTCTTATTAAAAGAAATAGCAAGACTACTGATATTTTGCTTCCCTCCTTCCTTCTTTTGTATATTAGTTGGTGCTGCACTAACCCTCATTCAAAAGTGGCCAGTAGCTACTAATTCAGTGAAAAACAGATTTAGACACTGTTTCTGGACCAACTGAAACTCTTTAGGTAAACGGTAGAGAAAGAAATACTTGTGCAAAATGATACAGAATCTCAAAACTTTATAGAAGTGTAAGTCTGCGGTCATAGCAGTGTTTTGAGATTTTTCTGTAAGTTCTTCAACTTGAAGGATTTCATGTCACAGAAAAACAGAAAATAGTTCATTATAACATAATAGGGGAAAATTTCTATGTTTGCCAAAGAATAATTTTCTTTAAAGTGAGAAAACACCCAAAACAGTCCTTTAAAGTTGTTATGGGAGTTTTTTTACCACTGTAGTCTCACCTTCTCGTAGGCCGATGTTTTATACAGTTATTCAACCAAAAATGACATGTGGTGTGAGAGCAGTGTGTTGTGGCTTGCAAGAAATCAGTGGAACTCATGCCAACTCTGCTGTCAGGAAGCTTGTAGAATGGCAAGGGGTAAGGTGGTATTTCCCCCTTTCCTAAACCCGATAGTTGAGTTCATTTATGAGAAACCTGTAACAGGGGAAGTAACTTGATTTTTTTCCCCTATTTTTAGCAGTCCTGGAGTTTAACTCAGGCCTTGAGTTTGCTCTACCACTTGAGTCATGCACTCAGCCTACAAACTTGGAAGAATATTAGAAACCAGTTATGATCTTTAAAGAAATACCAAGACCAGTGATAATTTGCTTTGAATGAAATAATTTTCAAGATGCATAAGGAAATTAAGGATAATAACTGAGGATAGAGAAATAACTGAGAACTCCACCAAACAGACATAATCACAGCAAGGACCACTGCCATGTCTTACATATAAAATACATATGCGACAGTTTCTGCAACAAGTAGATCTGTCCAATGGAGTTCAACAGAGTGCACTGTAAATAAACATAGTTTATCAAGCCTGCACTATTAAGTCATCTGAGTAGCTATTCTGCCTTTGTTATCACCTAGCTCTTTTAACTATGCAGAAGACATGGTTAATCTGAAGAAGAACTCGGAGCTATCATGTAAGTGATTTTTATAAGCAGTCCTTCTAATTTACCTATGTACATGAGCATGTACAGAGTGATCTGCACATTCCCACAGAGCCAGCAGCACAGGGACTCACCTGCCTATCAACAGGCATTTCTTAAAGCATACATGCAATAAACTGGTAACAACTATGAAGGGAGGGTAGTGTGGTAACGTGAAATTTATAGAAGAGGGCAAGCTAATGAGTGAGAGATGTGCAAGTAGGTATGTGACGGAAAGAAGGTGGAAGAGAGGTGAGAATGTGCAAGGAGGTGCAGAGTCACGGAGAAGTAGATATGTAAGGTAAGGACCACAAGATGTGAAAAGTATTTCTCAGTGGGAAAATTAGGTTGAATAGTAAGAAGAAGCTGTACTGGATAGAAATTACCTCACAAATACAAACTATTGCACTAAATCCTACAGACTGAAAATAAGACGAAAAGCAAACTTCTGAGAAAGCAGGCTCAAGGCTCTGGGGTCACTTCTGTTTGTGCTATTTTCTATAAATAACTTTTCACATGGTATCTATTAACTGCTTCAGTTCCTTACTTCTTGGTGAAAAGGCAATTAGATGAAATGAAGGACTCAACCCTTTTCTGTCTAATAAGCTGGTGGGTAAAAATCATGCCCATCACTTTTATCGAGGGTCAAAGTGACCTACAACATAACCATGCACTTATGTTTTATAAAATTGCTACAAAAAGTTATGCCATTTAATTGAGCTTTCATAAAGAAAAAATATAATTCATGCAAATGCTTGGCATAGGCACTAGGCAAATATTTTCTCTTCTTTCCACACTTTTGCTTCAGAAATATTTGAGTACTCTTTTTCAGTTTTTTTGTAGTACTTATTCTACCCTTAGTTTTCTTAATAAAATCTCAACTCTGTCAGATGCACTCCTGGTATCTAAAGCACACACTTTCTTCCCATAAACACTAACCACAGAACTTTTAAGTTACTTGTTATTACGTTCTGTAAAAAACAGGTTGAAACAAAGTTTTAAACAGGTATTCTAATTTTACCCCACATTTCACAGGCATTCTTAATCAAATGATTAGAAAGTAAAAAACTTCAAATACACTGCTCCTCAGTGTGAGGACATAACTAGTGTAGAATGTGTGCTTAGCATCTGCAAGGTCCTGGCTTCCATCCCATCACTATTAGAAAAAACAAAACAAAACAAAACAAAAACTTCATGTCTATATTATCTTTTATTTAATCTTCGGCAGTACTGGGCTTGATCTCAGGGCTTCATACTTTTAGACAAGTGCTCTACCACTTGAGCCATGACTCCAGTTTCTGCTCATCAATTTTATTGAGGGTCAAAGTGTCCTACAACATAAACCAAGTTCATGTTTTGTAAAATTGCTAACAAAAGTGCCATTTAATTGATTTTTTTCATAAAGAACCCACAGCTGGGCATGGTGGTACAAGCCTATAATCCCAGCATTCAGGAGGAGCAGAGGCAGGTCAGCCTGGGCTATATAGCAAGACCTGTCTTAAAACAAAAACCCCTCCACACATTATACATTCCTCTTAGTGCTAGTAAAATACCAGTAACCTTTGATTAAGTGGCTTATTTCTTTATTAGACAGAGATAGCTATGTTATTCCAGTTTCCTCTGGTTTGTCAAAGTTCTTGAGCTAAGTTTTGTTCCTGTGTGTATTAAGGAGTCTTAGCCTCGAGTCTGCCATACTGACTCTTATCAAACATCATTCCATTTCATTTGTATCATCTACTACAG